AGATTTAAGTGTTCTTCTCCTTTAATTGTAATCTTTAGTTCCTTCTGGTTCCCTCTAGTGTGCAACCTTCAAAGTCTCATCCTATCATTTTTTTTAGGAGAATTCAAAACAAAGCATTTTCCCACAGGAAGGCTTCTTATAATTAATTCCAAAATCTTATTTCAAATCCGTATGGACCCTTAGTCCATTTGTAACTTTCCAAAAGCAAAGTTCTACTTACCCTTTTGCTGTTTATTCCAAAACAAAAATATTTGTTAAAGTCCTTAAACTTGTACTTAAAAATTCTTTTGCTAAGGATTGAAGGAAACTCACCCGGTGTTTTCAGACTCATTGATCCAAAGGTTCCTAATAGCTAAAAAGCAGTTAACAAGCAATTTATGAAAGTGATTAGTAAAGTAAGTATGTGAATCCAGGGTCCTTAAAGGCACCAACCATGGTTTGAGCAAGATGGCTATTCCCTCATCTCCCTGAGCTGTAAACCTGCTGGAGACCACTGTCTTGTGGTATCCTCACAAGAAGCAACTGTATGGAGCACTTGTGGGCGATCTCAACTCCTCTCTTTGTCCAGAGAGGAATTACGAATAGCTGGTCTATTCACTGGCTCTTCATTCTGCTGCAGTCATCAGCTCCACTTTTAGCGGAGCCCTCTTCAGTTCACCATTTCTTCCACAGAAGTCTGCAAGGATATCATTCCTCACTGTACATAAAATTCTCTCCCTCTCACTGTAGATCCATTATATACTTTTCCAAAGATCACTGTACTGCCAAGTCTACGATGTCCAAATACATTTCAATGTTACACTCTGTGAAACTATCACATCTCCATTCAACTGATATAAAATTGTTAACCTGACATACTGTTAAAATAACATACAGTACACTTCATGAATTATCCCATTGAGTTCAAAAAGGTAATAAGAATAAATAGTTCTTCCACTCAGGGGAAGCTGGAAGTTTTTCAGAATAAGTAGCCAACAGTTTTGCAGCTCCACCTCAATAGCCCAGAAAAAGGAAGGAAGGAAGGAAGGAAGGAAGGAAGGAAGGAAGGGAGGGAGGAAGGAAGGAAGGGAGGAAGGAAGGAGGAGGGGTGCAATTCACAGGGATTTTGTCAATTTCCTTTCTCTTCTGCAACAGAAAACTCACATACTACATGACTGCTTCTCTTTCTCCTTCTTTGTAGAGTGCAGGTTGGGAGGTTTATTATTGCTGCAGGACCAGCAGCATTGCTACCAAATAGGACAAGATATTTATTCTCAGCATTTTAAGTTCAGACTACTTTTGTTGGTTGCAGAGTGAAAATGGTGTT